CAGATTGATGTGGAATTTGTGGAAGTGCTTGCATTCAGGTATATTCTTAGTTTAAACTCTTATTATTTGACTTGTAATTCTTTAACCTTAGTACTTTTTTATATTTGTCATGTACCAATCTGATGACAACAAAATTTATAGGCAAAGCCATATGTCATTTTTTGAGAAGTCCGATTTATTTTTTATATGCATGATGCGCCCTCTATCATCCGAAATTCGAAGGCAAGAATCAGAAATTGAGGCAGCCCAGGTACTTTTTCCAGAACATTGTTTTCCTTTTCTTATCTATCGGATGCATGAAATGCTTTTGTTAAAGTATAAAAGTGAAACCTTGAACCCTCATCACAGCTCCAGAGTTTTGGTGTATGGCAGGGTTCTTTGACATGGTTTTAGATCAACCTAGATTCAACTCTCACTGACCGCGAATTTAAAGCTGATTTACAAAAAAAAAATGAATCACTGTGCGAGTCCAGATTTCGGCCCACATAAAGAACACTCAGCCTGTAGGGTGTGATAGAGTATCAAAATACAACCCTCAGCCCTCATCACAACTTAAGAGATTTGGTGTAGTGGAAGGGTCCTTTGACAGCTTTAACTGCAAGGTCGGTCAATATCTGGTTATCGCTGAGGCATATGCAATTTGAGCTGTGAAACTCATACTAACTTGGCTTTGATATTTGCATGGGCTTCTTTCTTTGAAGAATTTTACTATAAAATCAAATATTTCGATTAGCCATAATGAATTGAAGACAGTGGAGAAAGAATAGATGATATATTGCAAGTAGTTGGTAGGCCAAATTAAGACATTTTGTGTTTAACTTCAGTACACTCAACTGTCCAAAGTCCTAGTATTGTGGCATAAACATTAGTTTCTGCCAGTGGTATATTTTATTATTCATTGAAATTATGTTTGTTCAGATAATCATTGATCAGTAGAAGTTGCCTTACATTGATAAAGGATTCTCTATCTCTACATATCAGTGCACATCTTGACTTTTTTGCACGATCTGACATCTTCAACCGTGGAATGTCATCACCCACATCAATCAGCATATATTGTTGAGGCGTTAGTTGCTAATTTTAGAAGGCAATTCATTCTAAAAGTAAAAAAAAAAGTGTTGCTGATTTTGAAGCTATTTCTTTCAGCCTTGAAACATCATCCAATTATTTGTGTGGCATAAGACAAAGTAGCCACAAACAGGGCATCCTAGTAGCAAAGGAGGTATACTTATTCAGAAAATGTAAAATACTCAAATTCACTAGACGAAGCTAGAGGCAAAGACAAAAAGCGTGTTTATTCATTCCTCATTTTCTTGTAGGTGAGGGGCATGGTCTTGGTCGGAGGGGGGGTTGGGACTTCTAACTGTTTTAGGAGAGTTCCATAAAATCTTTTGAGTCCTCAGTTTACTAAGAATTTGTGATAAAACATTCAAAAAGGTTTAGCAGTAGAAGGGGGGCACTTGACATGTTATACGATGAGACATTCCGTTCAGCATGTCATCCAGGGAAAATATACATGATGCTCTTGTTATTATGCTTCCTCTTTCCTTTCTGAAAATTTTATTTATCTAGGAAATAAATGCTAACTATGTCATAATCTAAACATAAGTTGTCTGATATTTCAGAGGAATATTAGCATGCTGCTTTCTGAGATAGTTACAAGTAAAGAACCCCTGTTGACCACAAAAGACCCCCATATAGGAAATGGAAATGTTAGCACAAAACACTAACAAACACAACATCAAGATAATTGTCTCTGTCTATGCTGGATTCAGTTTTAATATGCTTGAGCATCTTTCTTTCACAGATGAATGTAATGTTTATAAATTATCTCCTAATTTTTACTAATTTTTTGAATGACTTGGTTACTTATGCCTATTACCTGTGAGTTGTGGGCATGAAACGAAATGATCCCACCTCTATCCCAATCATCATGTGGAATTTTACATCAAAGGGAAGAAATATTTCTGCTTCCTTACAACAAGGTCTACTTGTACTCGTCATCTGCTTAGGATCTCAGCGGTTTACATTTTCCCCTACTCCTACAACACCAGAAGTTTAGCTGTTTAAATTTGTACTTATGCAGTGGATGTCAATTAAGGAAATGGCAGAACAACCTTTTGCACAGAAGCATGAGCTGCTGCGTTACATGATTAACGTTGGTTTGGCGAAGGCTGAGAAGTCTTACAATGGATTCTCACCACGGCGCATAAAATCATCGTTCTCCAACAGGCAAAGCTATCTGTATTTAAATGACAAGAGCCTGGACCAGCCATCTAGATCTGACGATTCATCTGAAGACAGCTAAGTTTCTTCACACATTAAACTTCTTTACAACATCGTATACGTTCTTTTTCACAAGGGAAAAATTTGCCAACTAGTTTTGTTGCTGTATATTACATGTGATGGATAATACAGGATTAAATTCGTTGAGATAGTATGTGAGAATTATTGTCAAAATCATGCCCGTGTAATATGACCCAAGTATACGTTTATTTAAGTTAGCTATTGACTCGTAGCTACTGTTTATTTCCACATATTTAAGTGACTGACCTCTTGTAATTTGAATAGAGAAATATTGTAGAAAAATCTTATCCATTTACAAACTTTAAATGCTCTTTCCACCAGATGATATGTCTTAATCGTTTATTATGTGCTATTTACTGGACAATAATAATTCATCGTGAGTAAAAATGAAATTTAGTTAATTTACGGAAAGTATTATGGTAGTTATATTGGAAATGAATAGCAACCATCTTAAGTACGAGTCACAGAGTCAGTTGCAAATTGAAGTATTGTGGTAATTCATGCACGTTCGAAATTTTGCTCGCCTTCTGAGCCGAACCATGTTAATCTTACCGAAGCAACAGTAACTTGAGCACCACCGAAGTAATTAAGAAACAACCAGATATCACATTTGGATGGAAACCCCTCGTCAGATTTCAACCCTCCGACCTCATTACATCAGACGTAGCCACAAGCGGACACCCACCTTCACCTCATCCTCTCCCACGTGTCAACCCCACCCCACACGTGCTGTCACACCCCCACTCCACTTGTTAACGTTGCCCCCCTCACCCTCGTGCCGCATACGCAATCCTCAACAACTCACTGCTTAAATTCCCTCTTGATCGTATCTACAGCCTCTATCGCCTTCTACTCTCTCGATCTGAAACAAGATGATCCCTCTCTTCGTTCTATGCCTCCTGATTTCAACTCTTGACGTCTTTGTGAAAGCTGAGGAGAATACTACAGGCAAATCTTCTCTTTGTGAGGGTACCCCATGCAATCCAAATGTTGCTCCTCCTCCCCCAAATTACATACAGTACAAAGAAGCACCACCACCTCCACCGCCACCGTCGCAGATTCCTGCTAACTGCCCGCCGGTGGTGGTTGTTCCTTGCTGTCAGTATACACCTCCGGCACCGTCTGTGTATACACCTTTGCCGTATGGTAACAACTACTCGGCTGCGTTAGGAAGGGCCGGTGTCGGTAGTAGTAACTCTGTTCTGTTTGGGGGTTTAGTGGTGGCCTTCTTTGTTGTGTATTTGATTTGAATAGCTAGGTTTTTATAGTTTTGGGGTTGGGTTTGTGTTTATTTAGTAATTAATTGTCTTGTTTGTAATTCATACTACTGTGTAAGGATGGTATAAACTGCGTTAATCAGCTGAGGCTGCTTGAAGTCTATTTCACCGTACGAAAACTTTGAAGTTGTGGTTTGCTGCGAGAAATGGGCCCAATCTATAGAGTTAATGGAAGAAGAATTTTTCAAAACAGACCCATTTTCATTTTTTTTTTAAACCGACCCATTTTTTTTTTTTTACCAAAACCGACCCGATTTTGTAATTAGCAGTTTAATCACCATCCTAAACAGTCGGGGTTGCCAACCCCGACTATTTAGGAAGGTGTTAAACCCTAATTAGATGTCTTAAACCCAAAAAATTAATGTCCTAAATAGTCGGGGTTGCCAACCCCGACTGTTTAGGAAGGTAATTAAGTAGCTAATTACAAAACCGGGTCGGTTTTGGTAAATAAAAAAAAGGGTCAGTTTTAAAAAAAAAAGGGAATGAGTCTGTTTTGAAAAATTCTTCTTAATGGAATTTAACCAAAAGTTAGGAACCAGATTTAGTCTAAAAGGCATGACTATTTAGACCTTAGTCATTCTCTTTACACCCACCTTCGGGCTTTATATTGAAAATTATTTTTTAATCATTGTACTGACCTTTGTCAAAATTTAGCACTTTGATACCATTTGTTGTGGGCGAATCAGACTCAATCTAGAGTTGATAGGTTTTAAAGAGTTGATAGGCTTTAATAAATAAAATTAATTTTAACTAAAAGCTATAGCTACTAAGTATTGATTTAATTTTTTTTTAAACTCATGCCTTTTTATTATCCTATTTAACGCGGAACTATACTTACATGCATACTAATAACCTCAACATTGACGATTGAGGGTAATAATTTTATATACTAACATTTTTTTTTTGAATTGTATTTGAAGTTGTAATAAGGACTAATGGATATAGTTTTATACTCTAATATGTATTTACAAGTTGAGTATTGTTTTTATGAGATGAAAATCTGTCTATTTTAGTCAGTGGTATCTTTTTAAGCTTAACGGAACTTAAATATAATGTAGTTTCCGTTACTCTGCACTTATATATCCTCACTATAGTTTCCGTTACTTTGCACTTGTATATCCTCACTTATTTTTTACAACACTTATATATTTAAATTTTTTTGAAAAGACTTTCACTTATATATCCACATTTGTTTTTGGCATCACTTGTACACCCTAACTTTTTTTTAAATTTGCACTTAAATATCATAAAGTTTTTAAATATTGATTGGTTCTTTCTTCTGTCAACAAGAGAGATCCATAAGCTCGTTTATTAGTAGTACTCTTTCCAGCCACCGATACTCACCGTAAATTCTTATGTCTCTGCCAAGAGAAATTAAGGTTTGGGTTTATTGATCCGAGTATTTTAATTCCTACACAATCTATTTCATCTTGTGACTATTCGTAATTTCTTAACTATTTCATCTAATTTGATTAAAATTTCTATTCCCGAAGAAGATATTTATTCTATACGATTTTTTGACTAAAGAATGATATTCTTCTTTTTATTACATAATATGTATTTTGTTTTTATTTGATTTCTGTTTTGTAATCAAAGTAGCTTAAATATTGCTTAAAGATGGATTACGTGGATTGACTCGATTATGATCAATACATAGTTCTACTTGGTTTGCACTTTCGAGATTATACTAAATCCCCAGAACTAATCAGAAGATCTCACTGAAAAAAATAATGTTAAACAGCGTAGACGGATATTGTAATAAGTTAAGAGGAATCAAAGTTAAGTGAGATTGAATTAAATAACAACTTCATATGGAGAACAAGACATGATGGTGCTCTTTTTTAATTACTTGAAAGCCCCTTAGTATTTATTGAACTTCGAAAATGCCCCCTAACGGCAATACCGTTGGATATCATGCTCTATAGTTTAATTGTTCTTAATAACAAAGTTTGGCCGTCGGATCTTAGAAATGAATGGTTCTAATCGTTGCAGAGGAGGAGGATGATGATCTCAATATGGGAAATGAATGAAAAGCATGTGATCTTGGTCCACCGATTATCTCGTCCTTAATCTTTTTAATTAAACACTTTCGACCAAATTAAATGTCCTGAGCGGACCTCGTTAATTGTGATTAATGTGATCCAAAGTTCAGCCCAGCCGAGGAATACTATGGGAAAAAAAATTAAATATCGATCTCATTTAGTGCGTGCTTATAGAAAAGAATTTTGCTAAACCATTGCATGAATCTCAGAATTCATATACTAATATAATGATAATTATACATGTTTTTTATGAGAAAAACAAATTTTGATCAACGGTTAATATTTCTTTTCTACATGCACTATCAACGTCATGGATTAAATACTGTCCCTCTTCCGTATCCTCGGCATTTTTTAGAGAAATCGCTCATCATGCCTACCATCATCAAAGAAGGTTCTACAAATCATCTTGAATAAAAAAAAGGGAAAAAGGAAAAAGAAAGTTTGTTATACAAATCATAACGGCCAACAACGACTACCAAAAGTCATGAATATTCGTAATTTCCGTCAGTCTGTCACGGTCAAAAAAAAGAAAAAAAAACCGCAAAAAGAGTTTGTTCGTGTTTAATTGCTCAGTTGACCAGTAAATCTCACTCCAAACTAACATAATTACCGTCATGCCATGCCCATCACAAGCAGAAACCACGATCCATGCCACGCCATCGTCACGATTAAATCTTAAGACAGTGGAATCTCCGTAGTTTTATAGAAGAAAGAGTGCATTTGTGGGAAGTTCGATCTTCTACCGATGCCCCATCCAGACCTCCACCCTCCCCCAAAGAGTAGACACTGGATTGGGATCCTCTACTAAGTCATAGTGCATCCTAATATCTCCTAATGCTTCTTCACCTTTCATTACATAGTATCTGCTCGTATTTTGTGATTATGCACAAAATAAAAGGTGAAGATACATTAGAACATATTAGGAGGCACTATGCCTTAGTAGAGAATCCCAATCCGTAGACACTTCGCTCTCCTTAGCTCTCACTCTCATTTTCATATCTCCTCTCCCTCTCTCCTTCTTCCTCTCATACATAATGCAGCCTCCCATGTTTCTTCTTCTTCTCTACAGCTCAGTGTCGTTGTCTCGGGGTAGGCGCAACGTGGCTGATGCCCGTAGCATTACTACCATTGTAGCAGATGCCCTGGCCTGGCCCTGCCGCTGCCTCCCCCGACTCCTCCTCCTCCTCCACCCCTTCTAAGAGCAATCTCATCGCTCTCATGTCCAAAAAAGGTACATACAGTTTATAATCTCATCGATTAGGATGTTTTTCCGATAAGATGCTGTTTGGTTCGCAGTGTAAAAAGATGAAATTAACTTCCATGCATGCAGTTTGCAGGTTTATATTTCCTATGTTTTGTTGATTTGATAATTTAAGTAAAAGAGATCTTAAAGCCTCCGTCACGCCGCTTCTCATGAAACTCATTTCAGCCCTAAAGCCACCCAAATGAGTTTCTAGTCATGAAATAGGTTGCATCTTTTTTTGGTAAACCAACCAAGCAACCCTTCTAATACACTTTAAAATGGTCTCTGGACTTTTGACGGTCGACCGTAGTGTCTGGTCCGGTCGACTAAGCCAAACCATGTAGCAGATTTTGTTTCTGTCGTTGATTTCGGTCGACCGTGATGGGTTCGACGGTCGACCGCGAGTCGGGTATGGGCCTGATTTTGGTTTCCTGTTCTGCTTGGGACTAGTATCTAGACCCGTGCAAAGCACGATTTTTAAAAGATTTTCTACAAATATTGAACATGTTACCAAAATAAAGTATTCTGCTTTAAATATGAAGTATATGTGTGCTATTTGCTTTTTTTAAAATTATTCGTTCAGATATTCGATCAAGTTTGATTCAATAGTTCATTTAGTACTAAACAAATAATTTTCAGTGTTTGACTTATAAATGAATAGAATTTAACCAAATGTATGTTTGATTTGGTAGTTCATTAACTATTCAATTCGATAACTTTTTAATAGAATTTAACCAAATATAT